ACATATTTTAAACAGCATATATCAATCATCAGTTGTGAGTTCATACACACCTTATCACCATTTCCCAATCAGCATCATCCTGGATAAAGCACCACATTCCCACTTACCCACTCTTAAAAGCTACGTTTTTTGCTGTTTTTGTTTTGGCGAGTCCACCAGAGGTTGCTGTATATACTTTTCAGATCTCAAATTTCACTTGCAAGTGCCATTCGTGCCTGCTCGACGACACCGTCGACCAATCCCCTCACCCTCCTCCTTCCCTAAACCCAACTAATAGTGTTTTCAAAAGCATCAATTGACCTGCCTACCCACTTCCCTAAACCAAACCTGTGTTTTGAAAAGCAATCCAGGAAAAAAAAAAAACCTCGCCTGATTTTTACCACGTTTTCAGATTTTACCACATTCCACCCTGTTATTTACTTGTTTATTTTATTTGTTGGCTTATGTTTTTGTTTCATCTTTTTTCTGGAAGCGTTCTTCACCGAACCTCATCATTGTGGTCAACTCCGCTCTGCATCTCGAGTCCGCCGACGTATGTGTCGAGCTACTGGACAAACTAGTAGCAGCGGAAAAGCCGTCCATAGGCAGGTAATCGGTCAATGGGTAAGCGAGAAAAGGAACGGCATCATACCGCCCCGTAGTGTAACGGAGGCCAGCTAGTGAGTGCTGTGCAGGTAAACCTCACTCCTCTGACCTCTAAAGGTGCTCTAGCGATAAACACTAGAGGCTATGATCTTTAGCCTCCTTGGTAGAGCACCCGACTCCCATGTGGAAGGTCGCCGGTTCAATACCAGCTCGGAGCGGGTTGGGTGGCGTAGGACTGGTGGGGTTGCAGTAGCATTTGTTTTAAAGACGAAATGCAGCCATACACAGGGTTCAACGCTAAGGATTTTTTCTACTGGCCTGATCGGACCAGTGGTTCAGATTTTTACTTGCCCTGCCAATATTTTCACTGGCCCTACCAAAAAAAAAAAGTTAATAGCTATTTCTTAGCCACAGATTAAAAAAAAAGTGTCAAAATGTTTGTAAATCTAGAATTTAATTATAAGAAAAAATGTTAATGTATAATGAGCAAAATTCAAAGTTTTATGCAAACAAAATTAGCAAAATGTGCAGGTTTTTTATTGCAAAACAAAAGATGGCTGACCTGCCAAACTGACAAGTCAAACATCACTTCATTTTTTTTGATCGTGATATACTCTAGTTAATGTCTGCTTTCAAGACAGTTGAAACAAATGTTTTCCTTTAGCATCATCACTTGATGTTGCCACCATGTTGCTGTCTCTTCGCTGTACTGGTTGTTACGAAAAAAAATAACATGCTCACAACATCCAATCAGATAAGAGGAACCGAGAAGGTAGCATTTGAAGGCTTAACAACACAAACGGTTTCTCGATTCTGACTGTACGCAATTGACAAATAGTTACAGACAACTTTAGTGACAGCGCATCAGTGGCCCAATCGGGCCAGTAACAATCCTGTCTACTGTCCTGAGCATCTCACACGCTGGCCCCGGGCCATCGGGCATTCCTTATTGTTGAGCCATGCATACATAGCTCTGGCTACATACTGTAAATCGTGATCTTCAGAAACTTATATAAGGCTCTGTTTTCAGGATGAGCCTCTGTTGAGATTATGGGTGCTTTCACACCTGTGAATCGATTCAGTTGTTCCGAAACAGAGATTAACATTGTTACATTGTTGCTCTTTGCTCTTATAGCGGTTCGCTTTCACATTGCAAAGTTTCTAATCGGACCAAAAGAGCTAAAACAAGTCACGTGCGAGTAAACTCTCCTCACATTGGTCAGAGTGTCAGGGTTTATTTTGCAGCGTCCCGTTCAGCTGTCAGGAGAGGTGGTGGTTTGGTGGTGATTGACAGGGTGCGCGCGCGTGACGTGTCTGAGGAGAGACACGGTGGGGAGGGGTGAGAAGGGTGCGCGACGATGCCTATTTGAGGACTGGGAGAGAGACGCGAGATTACCGGGAGATCATCATCTCGTTTGCGGGCATCCGGAGACTCGCGAAACTTCCCGCCCTACTCATAATTCTCTCTTCATATAGCCGTATGCCTATTACATATCCATAAAACACTGTGATATAACCGCGCTCGGATCGGATCACTTTCTCACTGCAATCGAACCGCTCCAGGGTTCGTTTCAATCGAGCCAAGACCACCTCATTCAAGCGATCTCGGAGCGATTACTTTGGCGCAGAACAGAGCGCGATTGCCCTGTTCACATATGCCAATCGAACCGCGCTAACTGGGCAAACGAGATACGTTCCGAAACAAAAGTGTAGGTGTGAAAGCACCCTATAATGAAGCACCTCAAGAATTTCCATTTTAGTGCATCTATATAAAACACTAGAATATGTTTCAGCTTTTAATTGCATTGATTTCAATATCTGATCATGTTGTTTGCAGTTTGCAGAGATCAGATGAATCATTGAAGTTGTGACTAATCCCAAGTTAACTTGTAGCAATTATGCGATTAGTCACTCACTCTCGTTCGGCTTATATGTAATGCGAAATGAATCGGTACTCTGGCATACATTTTACCAGTGAACTCCCTTCAAAATTTTACTGAAAGAATAATAATTATGACTTCAAACTGTACATAAAAAAAATCTTTATTTAGTCACAATGTATGTTGATCCTAATCTGCAGGATCCTCCAGTGAGATGATAAACAGCCAAGGCTATTTTCCACCACACTTGCTGCATGGTTGTGTTGACCCGATCCCGACCAGGGTAAAGCCGCATGAGCTGCGTTCCCCAGATGCTCTGCTCCTGAAACTATCTGCTGATCATCTGGAACCTCCAACTTTTTTGCATCCGATGCCTGTGCTATGGGTAAGCCAGCAAAGACCCCATCACTTGACTGTCCATACTCTCCAATATGGACTAGATACACTCCTAGACTGCAGGAAATGTGTGCTTGATGGCTTTAGACACTCTGTTCTCCGTCATATGATAGTGGAAGGCGATTGTTCTGAATAAATAAATAAATGAATAAATAACACAATAAATAAATGAATAAAGAACACAATAAATGAATGAATAAATAACACAACAAATGAATAAATAAATAACACAATAGCATACTTTAAGTGATGGTTCCACTTACCCTCCACTGAGATAACTCCACTTGTTCTTAACCTCTTTGCCTTTTTTTCGTCCGTAAACACAAACATTTTTTGATCAAAGCTGGAAACCTGTAGCCATGTAACTTTCACAGTATTTGTTTCTCCTACTATAAAAATCAGCAAGTTTTCACATGTCTTCAGAATACCTTCATCATCGTTCGACACGAGAAAGAAACTAATATTTACAGGTTTGGAACCATTTGAGATGAGTAAATCATTTTTGGATGAACTACTCATTCGACATAGCAAAGTTTCTTTTCATTGAGTAACTTACAAAATTCAGCTATTATCAACAAAAATAAATGTAGTAAATGAAGTTTCACTTACCCATCTCGAAGTTGAAATGTCAGAATGTCATATTGTCACAGATGTGGTGTGACGCGACGTTTACATTCACATATCACGCACTAAAAGGCTATTTAAATCAAACATATATAAATCATGGTGTGAAAAGAGAAACATATAAAATGTGCAGCATGGGGTGGGGGGTAAAATCTAGAAGGGATACAGCTGCGGACATATCAATACAGCATCTTTTTTGAGACAATGCATAACAATAATGAATATTTTTACATTACAGTGAGGGTTAGGTTTAGGGTAGGGGTTGATGTTAATAAAATACAATTTAATAAGTAATTTAAAAAATATTCTGAATAACTCTGTATAGTTACAGTTTTTACATTACAGTGAGGATTGTGTTTAGGGTTGGGGTGGGGGTGGATGTAATACAATACAATGAATGTGTAATTTAATAAGTAATATGAATAATTCTGGGTAACTTCCAGCAGCAGCTTTACCCATTCTAGCAATAAGCGGGGCAGGGGTTTGCGAGGACTGGGGTTGAGAAATACTGCTCCATAATAGTACTTGGTGAGTAGATTAAAATTAAATGAAAATAAATTGAAAGTCTCCACTCTTATTACTTGATCTATTGTAGGTCTGGTGGCCAGTCGTGTCCTAAAAAAACTTTTTTTAATGTTTCTTAAGGCTGATTTATACTTTCGCCTGGCGCCCCGTCGTGAACCTACACTGAGTGCGCTCGCATGGCGCAAAACGGACAAGACTTTTATACTTGACCCTTCGCCATTGAGATACTTTTTTTAAAACAACAGGGGGTGGTTAAATGAAACCTACTGTAAAATCATTCGGAGAAACCAGTATTGCCAACTTAGCGACTTTGTCGCTATATTTAGCGACTGTTCAGTCCACCTTAGCGACAAATTTTCAAAAAAGCCACTAGTGACAAATCCAGAGTCTTTTTTGTGTGTTACTGGAGATTTTTATAGACTCTCATGTGCCCATCCTGTACCGTCCCTACTCTTCTTAACGAGCTGCGGGTGATGCTGTCACCCCCTCCCCATCCTCAGAGCACTGACAGGTGGCCAAGTCCTCGTTTCTCCCACCTGCAGCCTGACAGCAGATCACTCCTCTGCGTACCGACGACAAATTATTTAGCACCGGGAGTGTGAGGTATTTCCATTTTACAGTCAAACCGATCAGCTTCTCCTTTTTTTTTTAACAATTCAATTTGACTGTTTGTTTTTTTTCTTGATCACAATCACAGATACTTCAGTGACAGTTTCAGAATGCAGTTTATTAGATCTGAGAGATTACTGCAAATTCACTACACATCTAAACTGATATCCTGTATTCAAACAGCAATGTTTTTGTTAAATTGACATGCATTTATAAAGCGCAGTGCAAATATAAATACCCCTTTTATTAATCACAGGCTGTTAAACAAATAGAAACGGTAAAACGTGATAACATCAGAAATATGCAAATTGACATCATATCATTACTACCATTCAAGATTTTTTTTATTAATTATTTTTATTAATTCTTTTATTGATTATAAGGCCTTTTATAACCATTTAAGATTTTTGTAAATCCAACTTTGATGCATCACTTGGCTTTGTTCATATCTCGAACAGTTCTACCTATTAAAGTGTATTAAAATATTAACCCCATGCGTGTACATGTATTATCACCGCCATGCGTGTACGACTTTCCCTTTTGGCGCTTTGCTTTCATGGCCATCACCTAGCAACAGCCGTACACACAACAGCAGCTTGATAAGCATACCGGGTTTCAAAAGGAAAAAAGATGGTGTGAACACAAACCAACCAAGAAGGTGGCAAAGGGAGACATTCGAATGTGGGTATGGTCCAGGCAATTGAACAAAGTGTCAAAGCACCCTAAATGTACAGCACCTAAGCACCTGGGTCTTTGCTTTTTTGGCTTTAACAAACTTATCCCTCAAGTTTTCCTAAACTTTTTTACAAACACTTGTAATTTCTAGCCAAGAATTATTGGCCATCTGGTTAACCCTATAAACACGCATGGAGGGGTCATACAGATGTCTGTACAGGCTTAACAAAATCTCTTCAAAGTGATTCAGATTCAACTCAAATGAAATGCAGCACTACGCAAACTGTTCACTCGGGTTTTAAAAAAATGTTATGCACTCCACCAGCCGAAAGCAAGTCGCGTGCACCCAAAGCGAACCTCCGCAAATACCACTATGACGTCTTATTCGCCGAGCATACTGAAGCGAACTAACAAGTATAAATCAGCCTTTAGGAATTTTCTGTCAAGTTGCTCCAAATTCAGCTGTATCTACAGGGTTTGCATTTTGAAATGAGATCCTTCAGATAACCCATGAATCAGGCTGATGTATCCCAAAAAGAGGAGATGCATTCTCATATTCTGCTCTACTATGTCTCTAGACTGCCTTCATTTCCTTCTCTAAGTCATCCAGGAACTTCTTAGAAAATGAATCCAAAATGTGGAACTGTTCCCCTACCTGCACCTTGGGTGTCTTCATTCCTTCAGACTTGCTGAAGCCATTCGTGCTGCAAGATCTGCTCTAATGTTGCTCTCCTGCCGTCATCTTTTTTATGGCACTGAGTTATCAGATCTTGAAACTCTGTGAAAGATTTCAAAAAGAAAAGTCGATTAGGATCTTTATAAACTATACATGTTGTCACAAGAGCTGTTATGCGTGTGTTTACTGGTGTTATTTTCATTGTGTGCTGTTGTCTCACCTTTGGAATATCCTGGAATCAACTGATCATCTTTTCTGGTCAGAAATGACATAAAATGCTGGCCTCCGCTCACCATTTCTATAAGCAGATTTCGCAAGCTGCAAATGGCTTCTTTCATGGCCCATTCATGATCTGAAATTAAAGCAAGACAGTGTTTTTAAGCTTGCATGCATATCAGCCCACTGTTGGGGACCAATCCAACCCCAACTATGACATTTTATAATGCATAATAGACACATTCAACTCACTTATAGAGGTAGGGTTCATAATAAGCTCACTACAGCCAAAGTCAATCAATTTGAGCTGCAGCGTGTCCGTGTTGATCAGGATGTTGTCTGATTTGATGTCTTTGTGGAAGATGCCCTGGTCAGCGCAGTGTTTGGCTGCGAGCACCACTTGGCGAAATAAGCCACGAGCCACAGTTTCTCCTAGTGATCCTCCTTTGCCATTGATGAACGTTTCCAAGGTCTCACATGGATCTGGATATTCCATAATGAGGATGTACTTCTCTGGCTCCTCAAACCAATCGATCATTTGTACGATGTGGGGGCTTTGGGATTTGCGAAGCAGCAGATTTAATGCCACTTCCGCAACCAAAGGTTTGGCACATCCAGGCTGGAAAATGTCATTTGATAAAAGGTTAGCTTTGACGTTTCATTTTCAAATGTGCTTTAAATATGACCCTGGAGCAAAAAAAAACAGTCTTATGTTGCACAGATATTGACCTTTTTCTGCAATTCGGAAGTGTGTTTGCTTTTGCCATTGTTTTAGAGCTTCCTAAACGATTGCCTATGAGAGAAATGACCAGGAATGATAAACAGTCAAACTACTTGGCAAGGCAAGACAAGGCAAACTTTATTTATAGAGCAAAATTTTACACAACCGTAGTTGATCCAAAGTGCTTTACAATAAAATAAACTAGACAAACAAACAAATGGTATTAAAAATACTAAGAAATATATTTAAAAGTAATACTACAATACAAATAATTAAAAATAACATGTATGCGTCACTCAAAGGCAAGAGAGTAAAAATAAGTCTTTAAGTTAGATTTAGGATCATATGAAGGAGAAATTCTGATGTTCAGAGGGAGACTGTTCCAGAGCCTTGGGGCCGCAACACAGAACGCTTGATCACCTTTTGATTTGCAGCGAGACCGAGGGACAGACAAAAGAAACTGGTCATGGGATCTTAAAGGTCTTCAAGCTGTATATGGCCTAATAAGCTTACTGACATAGGCTGGGGCAGAATTGTGCAAAGCTTTATAAGTAAAAAGAAGAATTTTAAAATCAATTCTGTATTTTATAGGTAGCCAGTGCAATGAGGTGAGGACAGGGCTCTACAAACAAGTGTGTTCTTGACTATACATAAAAGGTTGAAGAGTGTAAGCAGAAAATAGTTTGCAACATCAATGCGCTGCATTTAACATCTGAACAATGTGAATGAGAATGGAGCCAAAAAGAATTTAAAGTCTGCGCCCACTCGTAAATAAAGAATAAGGTCAAAATTATTGATTTCTTTTATGTCAAAAATCTAATATTATAATATATGTTATTTTCTAAGACATTTTGTGAACTTTCTACTGTAAATATATCAAAATCTAATTTCTGATTAGTAATATCCTTTGATAAGATCTTAATTTGGACACCATTTAAAGGCATTTTTCTCAGTATTGTGATTTTTTTTTTTTAAACCTCAGATTCCAGATTTTCAAACAGTTGTATCTCTGCCAAATATTGCTCTATTCTAACAAACCATACATCAATGGAAAGTGTATTAATGCAGTTTTTAAGATCAGGTATGAATGCCAATTTTGAAAAATGGACACTTATGACTGGTCTTGTGGTCCAGGGTCACAAATGCAAATGCCTGTATTGAGAGAAGTCTTGTCAACTCACCACATAGATAAACTTGTCCCATGTGTTCTTTTTAAGAAATTTGACAGCAACCTGCAGGGAGAAAAACAGTTTTAAAAGTGGTTCTGCAATTATTTATGTTACATTTCACACAAAAAGAACAGATGAAAAGACTAGAAAAAAACTAAGAGAAACAAATGGAAGTAAGGATAGTTTACCTTCTGGCCATCAAATCTGCGTGTCACCAACTTCACAGTGCCATAGGCTCCACTTCCCAGAATCTTTCCCACATCATAAAAGGAGTAAAATGATCCTGATGAAACAAGAAAAAACACATTAATTGGTACTTTCAATGATAATCTTGAGAAGTGATACCAGGGAAGCAGGATAATGTACATCATGTTGAAAACTGAACAAGGAATTAAACAAGAAGCAAAAATATCAATTACGTCATTTAAGAAATGTTACGTAAAGAAACTACTGTAGGGCTAGGAGATCTAATTTCACAATATAAGTCACCTCATATCCTGATAATGATAAATATCACAATATATTACCTTTTCTAGAAATTCAACAAATTAATCGTTTATATATATATATATATATATATATATATTGTTTATATATATCGTCCACATGGAAAGCACTATTTATTTTGTACAATTTAAGATATATACTCAGAAATTTCTAATTCATATGCGATTATATTTTTCACTTTATTTCGATCTTTATTTTGAGCAAATGTTCGATTAAAAAAATAGAAATATTAAATAAATGTTTATAAATCATACAAGCATTTTCAAAAAAACTAATGATTACAGGTATATTACATAGTTTTCTTTTAAATATCGCTGAATAAAAAGCAAAATGCAAACATTGTACATTCAAGATTGTATGCTTCTGTCTGCATCCTCGTGTTGGAGTGCACTAAATTGTGAAAAAAGTTTTAAACAAGGTATTTTGTGACACCATATTTATAATTATATATCGATACCATCATCATTTTGCACAGCCCTACTATACTGGAAGTTGTCAACGTAGACCAATAATTAGAAATCACTCACCTTTACCCGGCCAAGAATAAATTGGACCAGGCGTCAGCTTACTGGATGGACCCGACGCAGATGATGGCTCCAGATCATCGTGACTGGATGATCCTAATTCAGATACTGCCTCCAAAACAAGATCGGATGGGCCTGGATCTGGAGGTGAACTGAATGAATCAGCACAAATATCAACTGGATCCTGGTAGACCACGGGCTCAGGGCTGGCTGAACATGGGTCTGTCTTTGGCTCAGGGCTGGCTGGACATGGGTCTGTCTTTGGCTCAGGGCTGGCTGGACATGAGTCTGTCTTTGGCTCAGGGCTGGCTGGACATGGGTCTGTCTTTGGCTCAGGGCTGGCTGGACATGGGTCTGTCTTTGGCTCAGGGCTGGCTGGACATGGGTCTGTCTTTGGCTCAGGGCTGGCTGGACATGGGTCTGTCTTTGGCTCAGGGCTGGCTGGACATGGGTCTGTTTTTGGCTCAGGGCTGGCTGGATAAGGTTTAAGTGTCACCTCAAAACCAGATGGAGCTGGTTCAGTTAATGCCCAAAAGTTTCCACTTAAATGTGGACGGAGATCTTCCTTCTTTTTCTTCCTCCTTTTTCTTTGTGTTTCTGTCAAAACAAATTGAAATTAGCACTAGAATATACTGAGACTAGACATAATAAAGAAACCTAAACACTGAGTAAATACATAAAGGTGAAACAACTGCCAGGAATATACACTGAAGTTTAACTGTCTCCGTAATATTCATTTATTACTTAATATCCAAATCTGTTTGAAATAATGCTTTAGCTCTGAATTTGAAAACAATTTATGCCACGTTTGAGTAGAATAAAAGGCAAATCAAAAAATAATTCACACATGAATGTTCCTTTTCTTCTTTTTTTGTGACCTTGACATTATTTGCTATAGACCCCTTCATTCAACTTATCACTATTTATATTTATATATTACATTAATGAAACGTAGTAATACTAATAAAACTAAACACAGGAAATTAATTCCAATATGAAGAACATTAATAAAACAGACTAGTCAGATATAAAACAGCAGATTAGGGGAAAAGTCAAGTAATACAACTAGACAGTACATAATAATATTGACAGTAGACTCACCGACAGCTGGCAGGAGATCTTCCAAATTCTGTGGAGACACTGGGACGCCAACTGGATCTCGGCCCACTTTATTGCCCCGTCGCCAGAGGAGGACACGATCCTTAAAAGACTTCCATGTCCGGTTGAAGAATGCACAGATGGACTTTCCCGTCTCTATTTTTGTTTGCGTTTCGAAAGAAAGAAAAACATAAATCATAGATCAAATACAGAGAACAGATATCATGAAGAAGGAATGTAAAGCTGGTAAAGTTGTCTAACTAATGCAAGATCCATCATTAAAGAGAAAGTTCATCCAAATAAAGAAAAGTTTGTCATCATTTTCACACTCTTTACTTGTTCCAAGTTTGATTTTCTTTCTCCTGATGAACACAAAAGATATTTTGTAAAAGCTGTGAAACCTGTACTCACCTGTATACTGACAGTATAAAATAAATAAATAAATAAAATTTACCATTATTTGGCCCACAGCCAGATGGACCTGATACGGATGTGACCTCAGATGGAGCCGAGATAGATGGGATCTCAGAATCAGGTGTCAGCTTGAAACTAGACAGACTTGACACAGGTTTTACCCATGTAAGACAATCTAGTTCTGGCATCGGTGTTAACTCGGATAACAGACTGGATAGATCTTGGTCCTCTAAATCGATCTCGAGTAGACTTGGAACAAGTGATGGCTCCAGATCACTGTCAGATGTCAACTCAACTGTTGATGGACCTAAAATAGAAGGTGGCTCAGGATCGTCCAGATTGGCACTAATTGGCAGCTCAATACCTGATGGGCACGGATCGATTGATAATGCCCATTGGAGGCCAGATAATTCTGGCTGGGGTTCATTGGGATCGCTGCATGGAAATGGGATCAACATGTTCTCTCCAGGCCAACAGAGGGTGCAACGCTTGAGCCCCTTCCCTATTCGCCGAAAGAATGCACGGATCCCTTTCTTCCACCTTTTTGCTTGTTTATCTACAAAAACAGAAGAAGCAAAGAAAATAAAAATTAAAAAAATTATTAAATAAGCATATAAACCATTTTGAGGGACGTAAACATTAACAATGGTCCTAACATATTTCCTGTTTTACTTTTTTCATTTCCAAAGCTTCAGAGACTCCAAAAAGGTCCACATATTGATAAATAATGTTATGAGAGCTGTTTTAATGTTGAGGTATGATTGAATTACCTCTTTTTACAGTTATGAAATAGTTTGACAAGAAGGAAATGTTCATGGGCCAATGACATACCCATGTTGAAATGGTCTATAGGGCTGCAGGATATTGAAAAAATCTGATATTGCAATTTTTCTGCAATATATTTGCGATATGAATACAATTTCACCATATGACTTGAATAGCTCTATTTAGAAAGAATTGATTCATTAAGATCATGATGATTTTGTTGGGGAGGGAATTGTGCAGAAAGTATAATAAATGACAAGAGTGTTTAATAAAGAGCAATAAACCATACTTTTTGGTTTTCTGGGTAGTCAAGCAGTATTTAGGGACAAACATTTAATAATTAAATTAAAATAACACTGCAGAGTCTACATTGTTTAATTAGATAGAATTAATCATTAAACATAAAATTCAAATTGCACAAATCAGTGTGCCTTTAAATACATTAAACTCTCTTGAAATATTCACACAGTCATAACAGAGCTATTTAATATTTTTCTTATAGTTACTAAAAAGTATAGAGAAATTACAGGTACTCTCTCATTAGTGTTGTATATATCTTTGTATATACACAATTAAAATGATATATTAACATTATTTTCTAATACATAAAATATTATTATTATATAAATTGTACATATACATGTTTGTGTTTCAACTAATAATTATAAACTAATAACATGGCAATAACAGAATAAACTTTTTCAGGAGGAGCTTTGTTGTAACAAGGCCATTATGATAGTTACAACTTTTATATGATGTAATGAAAACTAAATAAACAGTTAAACATTTAGCCAATCAGTAGCTACAAACTTCATCTCTAATGTCAAAGAACAGCTAACATTAATCTGATAGATGGTTTTGTGTCTCTCATATCTCAATTGACTCTGTCTATTTACCAGTTGGGCTGTTCTCCATAGCTGCTGCTGTAGGAGAAGCCTCCAGTTCTGATGCTCCTGTTGAGCGGGTGGTCTTTCCTGCAGCTGCCCGTGCAGAGTCACTCACCCTCGGCTGAGCTTCTGCGGACATCGGGCTGCTGGTTTGTAACGAAAAGCGTTTACACATGCTGTTATTTGTAATATATAAAGGTGCTTTGAAACCACCTTTATCTAACATACACACTATCTGCTCTCAAACTATGTGTATAGTTGTCGACTGTACGTCCAGATAAATTTCTAGTCGCTGCTCAAGTGATTTTCTTCGCTACTGCTTGGATCTTCACTGAACTGAGCTGTGCGCGCGAACACATTCTATTCTATGACGTGACAGCCAATCGAATGTGGGCGGGGCTGTGCTGTAAATATCTGATCACTGTTTATTTCAGCGTCCCATTAAATGTTTTCAGAGCGGATCAGTTCACAGGAAAACAATATTAACCATATGAAAAGGGCTTGTAAACCAGAGGTATTCCCCTATTCAAACCTCTGTCATATAATTGCAACATTTTTAATACAACTCATATTTTAAAGATTGTGTTTTAAGCATTCAGATTTTACCTCAGCGCTTGTTTGCTTACCTTTTCTAGCATTATATGTATTTTTAATAATTCTGTCCAAAGTACAACTTTACTGGGATTTTATTTTTAAGTCAACCAAAATAAATCAATTAATAAATCATCTATAAAAACAATATTTTACCTTTGATTCAATGTATTTTCTTTAGGCGAAAATAAATGTTTAAATTGATATTAAAACACTTTTTTTTTTTTCATTTTTAACCATGTCAAAGGCATTCATTAAAGTTGTCTACTTTGTACTAAAGTTAAAAAAAATCTATTTACCATCACCGGCCACTTTATTAGGTACACCTGCCCATTTTGATCTCTTGTAACTAGTTTATTTTATTCTTTGATTATAAGGATGTGACGTTTGTGTGTTTGAAATCATACAGATACTTGAAATCACTTTTTAAATTAAAGTTTTGCATCATACTGTCTTCGTGCCAACCTGGGTGTTTTCATAAAAACAAAGAACATTTATGATGCAATACTGTCTGAAAATCTTTTTTTTTACTCATATCGGGTCATTTTTGTGGTACACTGTAAAAAATGGCCGTGATTTCAACGGTAAAAAACTGTAAAAATGCTACAGTAAAAATCCATAACCTGGTTAACGGTATGTTTCCTTAATATATACGGCGAATAACCATAAATTGACTTTCCCAAAATTCCCTGCATGACACAACACTTTTTATACATTTTATGTTACATCTAATGTTGATAAACAATGTTTATTTCATGACTTTAATTTTATGTGTGTTACCATACTGGTGTTTATTAGCTGTGTGAATGACACTGAGCACATTCTACATGCTGACATTCTTTTTTGCTTGTGGGAAAAGTTGATTGTGATGAGCATTGGCTCATTATGTAACTTCCTCATCACCACCTGCATGTGGGTGTGCTAACGTGACTAACTGTAACAAAAGATGTTTAGATGTTGATAATTCAAAATACAGACATATTACTTCTATAAATTAATAAAATACAGTAATGTCCCGTAAAAATTAAAAAATTACTTTTACGGTTTGTACCGTGTTTTAAACGGTAAAGTACTGGCAACCACAGCTGCCGGTTTTTTACCATAAATTTTACGAATTTATTTTTTACAGTGTAATAAATCTTTACATTTATTAATAAAATAAACACAATTTTCTGCAATTAACAACTCCATCTTAACGCTATTCATTTCTATAAAGGCTAATGTGTGTAATCTTATTTACCATATTGCAATCTGACACAATGACAACAAAGACACAAATCATAAAAATAAATTTTGACGTTTTTAAAGACTTGGCATAATGTTAACTTAACATTAACGACCACAGTTAGCATAATATTTAGTTGTGTATTTGCTAAATGAGCACTGTGCTACACTGAGCACACTAACCCCACTATTTTTTTTAAAATCCGTTTCTATTCTGTTTTAAGTGACTCAATTAATTTGAAATTAAAATGTTAACCTTTTTTAATTCTTTGTTTTATTGTTGTGATTATTTTTATGATAGTTTTGCATTCTTTATGTAAAACACTTTGAATTGCCATTCTGTATAAAATGTGCAACAGTATAAATAAACGTGCCTGGCAGTGTCATGTATTGGATAAAATGACAGAAAAAATAGACATAGGATAATTTTTCAGTGCAGCTAAACGCCAAGTACAAAAACTTCACACATTAAGCAATTTGGCTTTCAGAATGAGTGCTTATGAAAATACTAATGTCACAATATCAATCACTGGCAAAGGAGAATGTAATGATTGAGGAACAGGCAGGGCAGGGTGAGTCAGATGTACAGTTACAGATAAGGGTGTTGTGCTATATTGAAGGGATAATGAAAACTCTTTTAGGGTGAACAATTTTTTAAATGTTTTTGGAGTTGTGGCCAGATTTCACAGGCTCACTGATTTACAACATGATCTGTCATTTTGACGTTTTTTAAGTTAGTTATTATGAGTATGGAAAATGTCTTTCTGCATTTATTCTGCTTCAGGAGTCAGTCAGTTGACTGTAAACAACACAACCAACAATGCAATAAATAGTTTTGAAAAAAAAATTGCTTTGTCATTGAACCTGAGAAAAACTTTTTAAAAAAATCATAATGACGTAGTCTCCATGCTATAATAATAATAATGATGAAACCATTTTAACTGTGTGGACATATCTTTAATAGTAAAATTCAGCTGTATAATTTGTGTCCCCTTCACAAAAATGCTTGAAAGAAATTTTATAGTTATTGTCCCCCCCTACTGTTAAATCAGATTTACGCCCCTGGTTGGATGGGCTCAATCCAATCAATCGGCTGATCAAGACTTACTTTGTAAGACAATGGTTGAAGGGTCATTTGAGGAATGGGTACTTACTTGAGCATATTACCATTGTATCCTTGATGCATAACTGGAGGACATCCACAGCTCTATGCATCCTCTTGTTGGGCTCCGAGGTGGGTGAGGAGCAGGAGTAATGAAACAAATTCTATACAAATATAGCAAACTCTAAAAACCCCAAAAGACTTAAACCAAATGATGACACAGAGAATGGCTATATGAGTCCTCAAAAAGACGATATATGGCAAATATTCATAATTCTGTAATTAACCCAAACAGAAATACTGCTGAGAAAGCTATCACATTTTGCTATTCAAAAAGGTATTGCTGGAATTGCAGGAACAATTAAAGATGTGAAAAAACTCCAATCTGGACAAATACTAGTTGAATGTTAAAAAAATGCAGGCAGAAAACTTGATACATGCAAATATGCTGGCTAATGTACCTATGAAGACTTTCTATCATCCCTCTCTTAACAGTAGTAAAGGTGTAATACGTACGAGAGAGCTGCAAGACATGTACGAGGCAGAGATCCAAATGGAATTAATGCAACAGGGTGTAATCAATGTAAATTACAATCAGGAGAGAAGAGCAGATTATCAAACTAGAACCTACATCATGACTTTCAATAAACCACATCCACCAGAAAAGATCCACTTAGGATACCAGAGTGTACCAGTTAACACATTTTCCCTAAATCCATTAAGATGTTTCAACTGTCAAAAATTCGGACATGGTTCTGCAGGATGTAAAAATAAACCATTATGTACCAACTGTGGAGAAGAAGGACATGGACCAAGTTGTAATAAAACAGCAAAATGCAGCAACTGTAAAGCAGACCATCCATCTTCTTCAAAAGAGTGCTCTGTATGGACAAAAGAAAGAGAGATTAAAAAAGTTAAATGCACAGAGAAAGTTTAATTTACAAAGCAGAAGCTTATGCAATAAATATGGCTTTAGAACAAATGGAAAGAACACAGTACTGTAACTTTTTAATCTGCACAGATTCCAAATCCTGTCTTCAAGCAGTTGAAGCTTCTAAGAGTGATCACCCCATAATTTTCATTGTAAAGAAAATGACAACATTAGAAAATAAGAAGTTCAACATTATCTTCTGTTGGATTCTTGGCAATATAGGACTACACACTTCCGGCGCTGTTTATGCGACTGCCGGTTGGGTCTGTGCGTTTCATGATTCGTCTTTTATTAGTTTTTTTAGTTATGTGTTTTTATTTTTAAACTCAGCATGCTTCATTTTTCAATTCATGATGGTTTATTTAGTGTGATTGTGTGAAGATGTCAAGTTCACGGCGACTTTCATATCAGCTGTCTGCTCTTCTGACTGGAGACTTGCTTTTTTTCTTTTGGGACAAATCAACAACGCAATGCTCACATATGAATTTTTTCTGCGCCTTTGCTCAGCTTCTGGGTTCACACATATAATGTGCGGCATTCCTGTGGAATTAAGGTGGAACACTTCTGATAGTCTATGGAATAATTGTGGAATTCAGCCATTGGCAAGGAGAATTCATGCAAGTAGGAGAAGAGGTAAGCGTGGAGGTGTCAAGCGCAGGTTGAAAGCGTATCACAGACATTCCCCGCTGCCCAATATTATACCGTCCAACATGCGCTCACTTTGACATAAGATGGACGAGTTGCAAGGGAATGTGGCCTTCTAACATGAGTAGAGAAACGCACACTTGTTGGTGTTAACAGGAACCTGGCTGGACGACTCAGTTGCAGATGACTGCTTAAGACTCAGTGGATATTCTGGACCTCTAGGGTTTGATAGAGGTAAGGAAGCTACAGGAACGCAGCACGGAGGTGGAGTATTCAGTGCTCAAGTCTGCATCAGTGCGTCCTCGATATCAAGATCACATCCGGGAAGTTTCACGCGTCCTCCGTACTTGCGGTCTTGAGTATTGGAACTGAACTTAGGCAGCTGATGATGACGTTGCACGAGAACACGAGGACGCAAGAACGCTGAAGAACGCATATTGAGAAACAGCCAGAGTGTATAGCCAGCAGCTAATCAACAAAATAGAAGTAGTCAGAGTGTATACACGCTCGATAGTGTAGGGCGTGGAGTTTAGTTGCCAGTGGATGAATGTAAATACAGACGATGGACTTGAAAATACAGAGGACTAACTATTTTATTGAGCAAAAACTCCCAAGAACTGGCGAGATCTCCTAGCTTGTCACATTCTGCTCTTTTCACAGACACACACACACACACACACACACATATTGCCCTCGTCCTGGCGCACACGTCCACACACACACACACACACACACACACACAGACATAACCCTCTTCCAGACGACATCGTGCACACACACACACACATAACCCACCTCCGGACGACAACGCGCACACACACACATTACACTTCTCCACAGGAACGTAAACAAAGCAGCACGCGTCGCGTTTTTAACGTGGCACGCGATATGAGAATATAGCGAGTTAACCTGAAACAGTACAAG